AGAGAGGGAGAGAGAGAGAGAGAGAGAGAGAGAGAGAGAGAGAGAGAGAGAGAGAGAGAGTGAAAATGAGAGAACGAGAGCGCCAGACAAAAAAGAGAGAGATAAAGCGTGGCAGAGAGACACACACACACACGAAGAGAGAGCGGGGGAAAGAACGAGAAAGAACATGAACTAGATGGAGTGGCCTTGACTTATTGTCGCCATCGTCTTTGGTACTTGATTGACCCTATCCACCTCACGGGTTTGACAGGCAGTTTCAGCTTGGTTCAGCGAGGTTTAAGCGCTTCAGTTTAACGCCGAGATGAAACGTTCTAAAACAATGTTCAGTAACGAAGTGACTCAAAGTTGACATTTTGGGGCGCAAACGCGCGCGTTCACATACTAACTGGTTGATAATGACCGATCTAGCAGCAATATCGTAGTAAGGCGAGGCGATCTCGTTAAGACAGATAGGTCGATCAGAGAGTAAAATGAAGGGTTTATCGCATACGTTGCCTATAGACAAAAGTGAGACGCGCAACATTCATGGGGTTACGGATAAAAGAGCAGCACTTGGCAACACACGTAGCGTTTGCATACGGAACAGACAACAATCGTGGGATTGCGAATAAGAGAGCATCATATGTCAGCACGTTTGGCTAATTGTACACTAAAGTACTACTAGTACTAGTAACTACTCTTCTATTCCGCTAACGCATGTTTCAGTGATAGCGTACGAACCGAGGTATCTCAGGAGTGGTGACGCGACAGAAAACGCCGACGTCAATTTCGCCGACGTCACGGGGCCGTTACAGAAGAGAACGAAGCCGAGCGGTATAGTCGAAGAGTGCTGCCTGCGTCGCTGCGACTTGAGAGCCCTCGAAAGCTACTGTGCCGAGGGACCATCTAGAGTTGATTCCTTGCATCAGCGCATCCCGACGCTGGTGGCCCAACCACCTAAAGTCGAAAACTCTGTACGTAATTTTGAAGTCGGGGTGGCGTGGGGTGGCGTGGGATGGGGGTGAGGGGCTGAGCGAGAGAGAAGAAATGCTGCCTATAATTATTATACAGAAATGTTGCGAAATTAGATCGTCAAACCGAAATGCACCTGTAATATGTTTCTCTTTCTTTCTCTTGCTCGCGTTCTCTCTCTTTCTCTCTCTCTCCCTAGAAAAAAAATATGTTTTTTAAGATATCTTCGATAACTACTCACGACTTCTGTCGCGTTATTTTCCGTTAGTGAAATTTCATTTGTTGAAATCAGGTGACTTTAAATTTGTAATACTCGTGGTGTGTACACTCTAAAGGTCCGCCGCGGGAAATCTCATAGGTCTTCCCAGCGTCAGGTGACTTCGCTTCAAATTAACAAACGTATAACGAAAACGGCTTCTTCGTGTGGCAAACGTCTCTGTTCGTTGGTCGCATTGATTTGCGACGTATTTGCCTGAAGCTGAATGAATAGGTAACAGAAACGGCAGTCCTGTAATCACGACGTGCGACGTTCACGCGAATAATTACGATAATTAAACACGAAACGCAAAATGTATCGGCCGCCCGTGGCAGTGAACATGAATCCGTTTGCAGGGAAGTTTGTGTAAATCGCTTCTATTGTTCTAACCCGCGCGACGCCCCGACCACAGCGATTAACTCCCGCGTGACTTCAATAGGTTGATGGGCACGCGCGTGGGCGATATTCATTTTAGACGAAAATTTTAATTCACGCGCTTAATAGCGATCAAATTACACGCCTTGACGACAGCGTCTCTAACTAATCCAGTTTAATTATTAAAAAATCAAAACGTTTGAAAAAACAACATAAAGTTTCTAGACGTAGAAAAAGCTTATCGATTTGTTTACGTTGTTGACAGGAAAGCGTCGAGGCTAAGACGTCACTTCCGGGGGGGAGTACAGACAGCGCGTCGACGATTGCGACTAAGACGAGCCCCGGATGGGGTCAGCGTCGGTACTTCTACGTCGGCTCGCAGGCGAACACGGTCTCTAGCGACGTCCTCGCCCGTCTAGCAAGCCTCGTGGACACCTACCAGGACTATTGGGACGAGACCCAGCAATAGCGGGGGCGGAGAACGCGCGCCGGGGTGGGGGAGGGGGTCGCAGACATCTACAGTTAATGAATTGCGTGGCGGTGAACCATTCATTCCTGAAATGGAATAAAAAGAGAGATATATGGCGGAAAACATTTAGCTTGGAGCGGTTCTGTTCGTGTTCGTACGCTTTATGTGACGGTGCATGTTCATTTACCGTTCAATTGAACCCTTTCGAATAGGACGCCCAGTGTAAGATCATTGTTGCTGAAAATGTTTGAATGTGTAACTCCGTATTTAGACTTATTCGTAAACGGTAAACAGTATGAGAAATATATTCGCGCAATCTATCGTGTGAAACTGGTCCCATTAATCTACTGAACATTGCATTTCTAAACGAACATCTCTATAAATGAAATCACTGAGATCGAATCCATGGATGCATTTACGACTAAACCTCTTTAGATCAGTGCGAAATTGATTGTCAATAATTTGATGTCCATAATTAAACTCACGTTTCGCTATAATAATAAAATCAAATGTCATACTTCACAAAGGGCGTATCGCTTTTAATGTTATGCTGTGGGAGTTTTTCTGTGTGTAGAGCTGCTGGTCGCGTCATAGAAGGTCAAAGTCTAAAGTCAAACGTGGATCATGAAAGGCCTCGACAGTGAGCGTATTAGCGTGAATATTTAGAGTGCGATACGACATTTAGGAGGTCCGTGATTTAGTTACTTAGTTCTTTACTCGTGCGTGACCTTACAAAATATATTAAGAGAAGTGAAAATGACAAACAAATATGGGTGTAGACCAACTGGGTCTACAGGGCCAACAGGGCATAAACCTTGCACCCTTTGTTGAGACGATAAGAAGGTCAACAATGACAACGTTGACGACGACAACGATGATAACGTTGACGACGACAACGATGATAACGTCCGTCCGAGACCGGGCGTACGGAGGCCACATTACACGTGCTCACGCGAACACCAGCACTACGTCACACAACACACACACACCACCCGGCAAGGCGAGATGGGTGGCGGCGGCCTGACCCGGCGACACAAAACGCGCAGGCCACAGACAGGGCCGGTGCACCGGGCGTCGCGCGGGCACCGGGCAGCAGCAGCTTCACGAGCCAGCTGGCCAAGGGCGTCCCGACGGACACGCACCGGAGCAGTTACCGCTAGGCCAGGCGGCCCTGGAGCGGGCAGCAAGGGGAGCCGTGCCGACGGGGCACCCGTGAGCGCGGGCCCCGCGGCGTGGTGAGCGGAGCGGCCGCCCCCGCTCCAGCGCAGTGGGGCGCGGGCACGCCACACGCGCGGACGCGGCCGTCGCCTAGACACAGCAGCACCGACAACCTGCAGCCGGACACACACCGCCCCCCGTCGCACGACCGACACACAGAACGCGCGACCTCCGCGCCGCACATCGGCCACCAAAGCGCGCCGGCGGGGCACGCGGGCACCCACCACAGCGACAGGGCGACAGCACATCACAGTAACAGGGGGCACTCCACCACACACAAGGCAGGTTGTCGAGTCGCAGAAAGACTATAATATACCTAGATATAATAGATCTAGTCAGCGGAGTAGGTACAACATATGCGCCGCAACACGAACCACAGCATCGCGCACGCACGCCAACGGTACGGCAACCTGCAACGGCAGCACATGGCCTGCGCGGTAGATATTAACAAATGGCCTGTACCCACTCCTAGTATTAATATATGCTACGCGTCGGTGAGCCTTCAAGGCTACCAAAACAAACACAATCGTTGGTGGTCCGAATGACGTACGTTAAAGCGATTGTGTTAAACACAGTCTATTATCTGTGAACGAAACCGGGTCTGGGCGGTCTATACCGGCGGTTCCACGCTGGCGCAATGCGAAGTGATGCTATATTCGTCTCTATATGGGGCAAGTACTCGGGACCTACGCAACGCCAAATGACCAGATCCTTTGGCGGCGCTAGCGTAATATTAATTCAGGCGGAAGAATACTTATTAAGCAAGGCATCTCGCTCGGCGGTTGGTGTCAGTGATATAAACGCATAATAACACACTCCATTTTATATGATTGTGGGGTCTGGCTTCACATGTCAGAATCATGCACCAAATGATGTGCGAATACATCACATCGGTGTTCTACTTAGAGGAAGAAAATGTGGCACCTGGGCGATGTTAGCGATGACAAGGCGAACACCACATGCGGCACGGCGAACACGAGGGACACTAGCCCAATCGGGCCCGGCAGAGTTGATGTTTACCCTTCGGGCTCTGCTAGAAGTGTCAACAAGCCAGGCGACTCTCAGCGACAGCGATTGTTCATAGGGCCTGGCCGCGACCCGGAGTTTTGCAACTGCGTGGTAGGGAGAAGTTTAAAAAAAAGCACAGTAGCGGAAGATGTGTCGCTGCAAAGAGTCTACTCAGACCTGAGGTTTGTGCATCGGTAAGCGACATGTGCGTAAGACACCAGGATCTGCGCCCGTACTCGTCGCGGATGGGATGGAGGAAGGTAACTCGCCAGTGATGCTCCCTCTTACTTCTGCGCCCGAACGTTGCCTTATTGTTGCTTCGCCGATGAGACCGATTACTATCTGCTTCGCGTCCACCGTCGTACCTGCTTAAAGTTCCTTGTTGTACGGCGACAATAGTTGTCAGGGACAAGGCCTACCAAGCGAGCACCAGCTATCCACGTTTTATGTGGGGCTGGTCCGCTAGTTCGGCTAATTGGAGGCACATGCACACTGTCAGCGGAGACTGTTCCTGACGCACGCGTCGGTATTGTATTACAACGGCAAGCCAAGCAACGGATATTTTGGGCCGTGCGCGGGCCCCTTTCACGTTTTCCTTTCTCTGTCGACCACCCCTCCTTCCTGCCTATTGTACTGCTACAGAGAACGTATCGCTTCTTAAGCGAAGTTCACTTTTCGTACCACACACACCAACGGAGTATGGAAATCCAACATGAGTACGGAATCGCGCAGTGTTGGCAGGCAGGTAGTAGATTAGGATCGTGGCGGTTAATTGGCAGTAAACGCGGCACCGGTTGGATGTGGGCAGGCAGGAGTCAGAAGTGGGAAGGTGGTCCAAAAGACACCGTGTTTTGCAGCGCGACTAGCATATTAACCACGGCGCTGTCCATTTACCCGGCGCTGAGCGGAGACTCGGCTCGGCCCCTGCTTCCATATTATACCTGAACTTTCTAAGAGCGATGACGCCGGGGCTCGAGTAAGCGTATTTACCGCCGCGGGCATCGTATGCGGATGGCGATGAGAATGGTAGTTGTTTTGCCTGGCAATAATAGATTCTATACTAGTCGGAGCGGCGAAGCCGATGGTCGCTCGCACTGGTAAAACCAATTATGCCAGTGATTCAGAAGACAGGCTGCTATTTTTTTCATGTTCAATAGTTTGCTCTCGCCCCGGCAATCGCAATTCACTTCAGTCCATAGCCACAAAGCCGGCCGACGCAATTAGCTACGAAGGCCGGAGGGCTGATATTTTTCCCGCCGCCGCATCTATCGCGCTATATAGACGACAGACACGAGGTGGATAGTCGCGGGCCGCCGGTTTAGTAGCGCGATGGTTAGTGTACCATAAATCGTAAGGCCGGGATGGGGAAGATGGGCGGAGGCGACGGGGGCGCAGGAAAAAAAGGCGGGTTTCGCACACTAAAGTGCGCGGGTTGCGGGGACATGGCGTGGACGCCACTGAGTATTACAGAGAAAAAGACAGAAGGGTCAATCGACATCATGCGGGCGTTATAGGGTCTCGACAGAATATCGCGTGTAAATCGGGGAGCTAAGTAATTGGAGGGAGGAGGAGTAAGATGGAGAGAGACGGAGGCGAGGGGAGGGAAAGGAGGAGGGAGAGAGGTATGGAAGTAGAGAGGGAGAGAAGCGAGAGAGAGTGAAGCGCGGGGGGCTGATTATGTGGAGAGATAGCGCGGGACATCATGAGGCGAGATGTCGTCCTCGGCCTCTCAATGGAGACTACACTGCTGCGGCCGGGCATCCTCATGGGGCACAGGGCGTGCTTGTAGTGGGGGGTCAATGGGCTGACAAGGGGGCGGCTGCGAAGGGAGGAGAAGAGCAGCCGCTGAGTGAGTGGGAGGGGGGGAGTGAGGACGGGAGGAGAGGTGTTGTGAGAGCGTAGACCCGGAGGGGGACCAGGGCGGGCGGGGGCGGCGGCGAAGGGGGGAGTGAAGCGGGGATGGAGGCCCAATATCAAGCGCGGTGCGCAGCGGGGCGGTCGAAATAACGAGAGCGCACACACAAGTAGAGCATAGCTGCAGGGCTGGGGTAGAGAGAGAGAGAGTAGCGAGCGGAATAATGGTGAGTGGAGGGTGAGAAGCTGTGGGGGGAGGGGAGGGCGCCGGCGAGGGGAGGCGGGTGGGGAGGAGGGAGGCTTGTGGGGGTGTTGCGGGCTCGTGGCGGCGGGATGGCGGGCGGGGCGGGGGCGGGGCCGCCGCCCAATAAGTAGCAGCTCGCCACTGGCCTGATATGAGGAAGGAGGATCCCTAAGCTTGGCGGAGGGATGAAGTAGGAGACGGTGCAGAAGAGTGAGGGCAGTGTTGTTTTGGCGGCTTCGGGTCTCTGTTTGCAGGTGTTTGCTCTGCCGCCGCTTCGGTCTCTATTCGTTGGTTAGTTTGCAGTAGTTAAAGCCATGGTAAGAGTATGCGCCCGCTCGGAGGAAGGAGTGGGGGTGGGCGACAGATTGTTCCGCCCGTCGCATTTGTGCGAACGTAATATATAATAATGGATGAAGGCTCATCATGACGGATATATATATAACGGCAAGGTAATTGGCTTGTTAGTGGACATAGGAGTACGCCAAGCGAAAGTCAGGGGACAGATCGGCCTAAAGTAATACAGGTTCAAGTGATAGAGGATGAGTGAGCCAATAGGTGGATGAGGCAATAGTCAGGTACCAGGTGAAAGTAAAGTGCTGACGCGCTGACCCAAAATTGGACCTGCATGTAGAACCCAGCTAGCTAAGTCCCAGGACTCATGCATCTGGTCAGCGCGGAGCCGGACCGTCGCAGCGGATCGCTCGAGAGGAAACAGTGGCGAAGGAGGGGGACGGGAGAGCTTGGGCCGTACAGTGCTGAGCATGGACTGAGCGACACTCGTTTGCTGCGCCGCGTGGTGGGCTGGGCGGCACCATGCACCGGAGATGGGTTCACCATTATCAATTCGTTCGCGAACGCCCCGAACGTGAGAACAGGCGGAAAGCAAGGACAAGAAAATCGCGCAAGAAAGAGCCAAAGCGCGGGAACGGATGAGTACCCGGCGCAGGAACGGGGGCGAGACCAGTTGAGAGTCTAGGATCGCCGTAGGCAGAGAGGCATGCCGCGCGCCGATGGAGCAATATAGTAATAAGGGCTAATAGGAGTGCGCATAGCTATACTCTCTATATCAGCGAATGGCACAAACGTAGGTACGAGCTCGATATTATGCCACTGACGAAACGGGCGCTGAGTATACGGGAGACGGGGAGGCCAGGTAATGGCAAGGGCTAACACCTGGCTGTAGCT